ACAATTAAATAGAGTATTGCTGTTTTTAAAGTCCTTTTTTTAAACTAAACCAATTTTAAACAATGTCATCAACAAGAAGAACTAATTGGACATCTACAAAAAGAAGCCGAAATGTCATATTGAGAGAAAATGGCCTCTCTTATGCTGAAATTGCAAGACAAGTTGGTGGTTCAGGGACTTGTTTTGGTGTACGAAAGTTCTGTTTGCGTTACGAAAAAACGAAATCAGTGGAAAATAAAGCCAAATCAGGCCGAAAAAAATGCACAAGTGCTACTGCCGATAGAAAAATTAAACGGCAATGCCTTCAAGATAGAAAAATGTCATCAGATGCCATTAGATGTGAAATGAATGCAGCGGGTATTGCAGTAAGTTCAAGAACAATAAGAAGAAGGTTATCAGGATTTGGACTACAAGCTAGAATTCCAAGGAAAAAACTATATTTAATTCAAAAGCAAAGCCAAAAAAGAGTTAAGTGAGTAAAAGAGCACATTAAATGGTCAGAAAATCAATGGAAGCAAGTAACCTGGAGCGATGAGAATAAAATATTGCTCTTTGGGAGTGATGGTAGAAAATACGTGAAACATAGAGTAGGTGAAGCACTTCATCCTGATTGCATTGAAGCAACTACAAAAAACCCGACAAATGCCATGATTTGGGCATGCATGTCTGCAGATGGTGTGGGTCGAATTCGAGTGATTGGTGGCATCCTGAATGCCAAAAATACATCGAAACTGTCCTGAAACCAAAATTGATACCTTCCATCAGGGATCTCTTCCCCAACAACACACCAATTATTTTTCAGCAGGATTCAGCTCCATGCCACACAGCAAAAGTATGCAAAGCATGGCATATAACATAACTTTTTAATTTGAAATTTCATCATGTCTCCTTTAGATAAATAATATTTACTTTTCCTCTTCAACAAAAATTTGGAAAATCACAAAAATTTCAGGACATTGATTGAAATGTTTAATAATTGAAGACATTTAAAGACTCTTTATTTTTTAAAGGAATTTAAGGACACTTTGAGCCTGCACTAACACTTTTATTACAAAAAGCAAGAAATATTTTTCTTTGTAGGCAGAATCAGTTAGTTAGAGGGGGGAAAGGGGGGACACCTGTCCCTCAGAAGAGGTTTCTAACTCATATAACATAATAAAATATAATTTTTTCACATTTTTTTTTTTTTTTACTCTTTTAAATACCAACTGTTTCATTTGCTAACTCGAACCTCATTACTTCTTCCATTTTTTATCCGATCCCATTTACCTAAAACATTTAACAGGTTGTTTATTATTATTACAGATTTCTTTGCACACAGGTTTTTTTTAAACTTATTTTTAACAAAATCATAAATTAAAAATGTCTACAGAATTTACGATATCATTCGATTCAATCAAAACTATCAATACATCCAAAATCATCAACTGCAATAGCATAAAATACACACTGTTTGATTTCTTTTATCAGATCATGAATGAAAGAGTTAACAAATTTCTTTGTTTAAAAAAATGTGAAGAATGCCAAATCTTATCTAAAATATATTTTACAATACAAAATAACATAATCATACATAATCTAAAAGCATAACTCCTTAAGCGTCACTGCCCAATATAAATATAACCAGTATTCTTTACACTGTTTCTCCCAATATACCCCCTGCTAGATTATATATTCAACTCGGAATATTTTTTGATCGTCAACTTATCTGAGACCATGTTAAAAAGGAGAGGATAAATCAAATTCAATTTTAGCATATTAAACTCAAATAAAAGTTGTGACTTTGTATAACACAAAATTTATATTTTAACTTACGTTATAAAATTTTGAGTAAGAGTCTTTTGCGTCAAAGCCTTAGACTCTTAAACTTTTTGAAGAATTTCTTCTCCCTCCCCTCTGCATTCAACGTTTTATTTTTTTTTTAAGTGAATTGCTCTCTTTAGCTTTTCTGAGATGTTCTCTTGGCTGACAAAGAAGTTGTAATTTTGATTTGCAACTTTATAAAAAAAGTATTGCTCACTTTAGCTTTCCTGAGAAGCGCTCTTGCCAGGCAGAGAAGTTGTCGCTCTCCTACACTGAAATTTTGACCTTGTTCTTCAACTTCCACATCCAAACCACCTAAGCTCTGAATTTTGTCTTTGACATGGCAATCTTGCAAAGCTTTCCATATTTGGGAATCACATTTTAAGTAACAAGGGTCGAGATTCTCACGAATGGTGCCGCTAAACAAGAAGGGATCCTGAGGGATGACAGACAAACTGGATCTGAAATCAATCAGATAAAGTAATAAGAAATAAATTATTAAAAATGGTAAAAGACGTTTTTAAAGAAACTGCGAAGGTTTAGATTTGCTATTGAAGAAAACAGTTTCTTATTTTACACATACAATTCTAACTTTTACATTTATTTTTAAAAGATATTTAAAGTCAGAAATTCATACATTAAAAGTATAAAGAGTTTTCCAAAGATAACTTTTTCTTTTCAAACAGTCAAATTTAAATAATAGTTAAGTCTTCTATAGCGACAATTCATAAAAGCAGATGGAATTGAAAATTACAGCAAACTTGTCCCGATAAACATATAAACTTATTTAATGTTAAAATAGTAATAAAAAAGACACAAGTATAATAGTGTTTCATAGCTTTTGGATGTCATTGATAACACTGAATATATGATATGGTACATACATAGGTCAACAAAATGTGAATTGTTTTAAAGTAGGCAGCAAAATTCCAAAATATAACAGAAAATATTTTTATAAAGAAGGAAGACAACTTGACTGATGGTCACCTACACTAGTTAACATAAGGGTTGAAATTGCAAAAAAAAAAAAAAAATTGTAAAAAAAGATTCTAAAATGAAAAGAGGTTTGTTTTTAATTTTTCCATTTTGATACTGGAAATAAATATGGTTCAGAATGGCTATATCATGCTAAGTGCCATAAGCAAAAGGTTGAAAAAGAAAGAAAAAAGATTTATCGCTATAGCTTAAGGCTAATAACACATTATAACCATATAATTTTTGTATCATTAACCTTTTCACGTGGGCGCAAAAGTAAGAAATCGAGATCCTCTGGTGGGCTCTTTCTGAGACTGGGGGATGAATTCAAGAAANGCAAAAAATATACAAGCTAATGAGGTGCACAGTGATAATAAACACTCTATTATTGAGTTAAAAAACGTCGGAAATTTCAAGGACCAAAGGGAAAAGCTCGATCTACATCCATTTTTCACGTAAATAATGGATAGATCTTCCTCTCTTGCATTTTGGGGATTACTATGTTTAAAGTGTGAAATCAGTTCTTCCTGAGAGTTATCATGCAGTGAAATCGGGTCATAATGCGGAAAAAAACCCTTTTGTTCGCTTCTTTGAATCAATTTTTATATACATGAAGAGTTCTTTTTCGTGGTCATAATTTTTTTAATTATAAATATCTATATTATACATTATAAATATCAGTATTTTAATTTATAAATATTTGTAACATTGCTGAAAATTTAATATCTCATCGAAAGATAATAAATCTTAGGAAAGAACATAAATAGTTGTAATGTCATATTTTTGTAGACAGGTCTCTTCAGTCTGAATTAATAGTGAATGGATTTAAGTCATAGCCGATGGAAAAGAAAATATAGGAAATTTAATTTGAAATCAACTCTTTGAATGAATTATTTTATTTTCATCTTTTTGATCTATCGACTTTGAAAAATACCGGTCACTTCAATAAATGATAAATATTTTTTCTCTTTATTCAGCAGAATCATTTATTTATTATTGTTATTATTATTATTGATAATAATAATGAAATAAGAAAGCAAGGTAAATGAGGATAATTTTGCCCTAACTCCCGGCTAATTTGAAAGATCCTCTCTTGTTAAGAAAGTAAGATCATTTCGATTGAAAATTATGTTATCAAATAAATTCTTCTTATTTTATAAATTTTTAAGATTTCTTAAAAAATTATAAACTATAATAACTTTGTTAATTATTTAAAAATAAATATACAAAAATTTTTAATCAATTTTCAAAATAGTATATAAAAGTTTATATCATTCCTTTAAAAAATATTTTATGCTTCAACCGAACTCTAAATTTAAAACACAATTCTTAGTACATTTATCCCTTGAACTCTTAGTTAGAATCTAATATGCGTTCTAAATATCTAACAAAATTTTTCTTCAACTTCCTTTATGTCTTTTTAAAATAGTTCCAAAAACGCGAAAACTCATAAATATTTCAGTTAATGTGCTTCAGTTGCAAATGATTATCATATAACAATCGGGCTCATTTCTTTTATTTTGCTGCAAATTTCATGAAAAGTAAGCACTTTATCGAAACTGCGTAGCATATATAATTTTTTTCCCTAGCATTTTTATATTTTTTTTAAAAAACATAGTCATTCACAATTGACTTCAACTTACTCCTGTAATAGATTTGTAGAATGTTATTGTTCAAAAATTTAGCTTCAATCTTATAAAAAGATACAAAACTGAGATATTAAAAGAATTTCTAGAAACTACAACTGAAAGTTAAACTGTGTGTAGAAAGAGGGAAAGAAACATGAAAATCGCCACAGAAGGAAAATGGTTTTCTTAAGAAAGTTAAAAATAGCGTTCATGATTTCAATTTCTTAAACATAGAAAATACATTAGTAATTATAAATTATATATTCATAAATGTGACATTTAAAATATTTATGTATCTAAAAGTATAAATACTCTTCGGTAGTATTAAGTATATATATTTCTCTTCGGAAATGCAGATATTTATTTAAAATCATGTAAGAAAATTTTTTTTAAACTGCAGGAATTATAATCAAAATTTTAAAATTCTAATAACTATATTTATAACACGAATTTAAAATAAAACCTAAAAAAAACTATTTATTTGAGTTTATGTAAAATATATGGCTTTGATATTTTATTTCAATTTGATTTAATTTACTTAAAAGAGCGCTTTTCGATTCTGATTAATCCATATTGTTTTATATACAATTAAAAATATTCGTTAAATTATATTTGTAATAAAGAAATTAATTTATTCAAAATATAACTCACAAGTAGAACGAAAAAATTTGTACAAAAAAATAGCAACAATGAAACTGACTAAAAAAGACGTAAGAAAACGGCAGACAAACAAAAAAGTTCCCGAACTTGGTATAGATGTTTGAAGGTAGGTGGGAAATGTAAAGAAACCTTTCTCCCCTTAGCTTAAAAAGGTGAGACCTCTCATAGTGACTAAAACAATAAAACAAATCCCACTGTAACTTGATCCTGTCTCTTAACTGAGGAGGAGATTTTTTCCCCTATTCTTACGCTGAAAGTGTCACATGCCCACCACAGGACCCCAAGATCAGATGTGACAATTGCTGTCACAGCCCCCCGGAAAAGGTTAATATCAGCATTTTGATGGTGACTTAGAAATTTGTAACTGTGAACTACCTATTATTGTTATATTAAGCTTCTACTGTATCTTCAAATGGCAAGAAATATTTTTACAGTTAAAAAACATGATCACAATGTTTTTAGCAAGTACAAATAGAGAGAGCTTACATGCCATCTCGATTTTAATAGTCCTTTTGACATGTGGATTAATTTAAAGGTTCGATCAATTTAAGGGTTAAAATTGAAAAACAAGAAGTCGGTAGCATACCTTAATTTTTCAAGTGGTAGATTGGCAATGTTCACTCCATCTATAAAAACTGTTCCTTCAAAGCAATCGACCATTCGGTAGAGAACCTGTATCAAGCTTGTTTTTCCTGAACCAGTTCGACCCACGATGCCAATTTTCTCGCCAGGACGCGTTTCAAAAGTAATATTCTTTAAAACATATGGAGATGATTGTCTGTAGCATAAGCTTACGTTGACAAACGAAATTGCACCATGAATAGGCCAAGCAAAAGGAGGCTAAAAGAAAAAATAAATAAATAATTAGATTTTTTAAAAAAAATTGAAAAAAAACCAGATTATTACTTATCTATATTAAATGATATGAGATTATACTAATCTATATTAAATGAAATGAGGTTATACTTATAATTTACATTAAATGAAATGAGATTATACTTATAATCTATAGTAAATAAAATGAGATTATACTAATAATCTATATTAAATAAAATTAGATTATACTCATAATCTATATTAAATAAAATGAGATTATACTCATAATCTATATTAAATAAATTCAGATATAGTGACCACCACTATAAAATTGCTGGATTCTAAAATCGGTCACTTTTTAAAAATCAAATCTGCAAGAACTGAATCACAATATTATATTAACCATGCTAAAACAGCAAAGAAATATTGAAAGTTACAAAAACTTTTATAAACAAGTTGAATTTCTAACTTCAAATTTTGCTGATCAAATAAATATGCTAACATTTTAAATCCCTTTTGCAAATGAAATTTTTTTGGTTATATTTGATTAAAATGTCAAATGTAAATTCTATTAAAATGAAAGTAAATACTGTAATCAATTCAACTTTTAGAGTATTTGAGAAGTTTCAAGTTGAAACATTTTTTAATGAGTGTAGATGTTCCAGTTTCTGAAATAAGCCACTTTATGAAATCAAACGCTATTAGAGCCAACGTGATTTTTTAATACACAGCGGGCACTGCATTGTTAAAAAACCGGGAAATTGTTCTTTCACATTTGCAAGAAATTGAAATATCAAATGAGTGCTCAGTCACAAACAGGCACAAATTAAAGTATAATCTATTGACATCTAAATATTTCTTGCATGAGCTTTAAAAACCATACATATTAGTTTATGCAAGATGACAAATGAAAAACTTAACTGTATGATGGGAGGCCTTTAAAACAATAGAAATAGAGAATGAGGCTTCTTTAAGAATAGATAAATGATGAAATGATAGTAAAGAGATTAGCGATGAGTTATATTTGATATCAGGATAAATGCATGGATTAATTTCGTAATTTATAGAAGCTGAATTAAAAGAGAAAAATAATCAAAAGAATTTTTGAACTGGTCTAAATCTCATGCTAATTATTGCAGAATATCTGAAATATTTTATACACAGGGAACTTTGGAAGTTTTTAGTCAAGAATTAACTTAACTATATTACACTCCTAAAAGTCTAAGTTAACAACACTATTCTATGATTGACATCAAATGAACTTGAAAACAAAATTATTTATTATACGAGGGTCACTCTGAAATTTTTGAGATACAACTAGGTTTTTTAAGTTACACTTACAAGATTTTTGGTGTGTTCAAAGTAATCTCCTCCAGCATCAATGCACTTTTGTAGTCGAATTTTCCACAGATTAAATGCCTCAAGCCATTCATTTCTTGGAATAGATGAAAAATGCATTTATAGCCACATCAATCTCTTCTTCTGAATGAAAACGACGTCCACGTGTTCTTTTTTAGATTAAAGAATAACCAAAAGTCACGCATGGTTAGATCAGGTGAATACGGCGGATGTTCTACCACTTTAATTTGTCTTTGTTTAAGAAACTCAACTGTTAATCCGGCTGTATGTGAAGATGCATTGTCATGGTGAAGCATTAGTGCCCAACCATTCACTTCTTGTAGAATTTCTGGAAGAGATATAGTGATATGCCAGTTTGCTGTTACTGTCTTCTGTCCTTCCAACTTGATGGCTTTGACCAATCCCGTACTTCTAAACAAAGCGGTATACATCACTTTTTTCGGTGCGCATTGTCTTTTCACCATTGTAGACGTGGGATCATCTTCAAAATCCATACTTTGCTTTCTTAAAGCATTGGATCATCAATAAACGGTATGTACATTTCATCACCCGTTACAATTTTAGAAATGATGCGGTGGCCACCATCATTTAGAGTTTCTTTACTGATTCTGACATGCTCCTCTTTTTGGTTCTCAGTTAGATTATGGGGAACCCAACGGCAAACTACTTTTTTCATATGTAATTCATGAATAATTTTGTGCATGGCTGCGGATCCAATGTTAAGTTCCGTCTGTATAATTTGATAGGTACAGCTATTATCATCCTTTAACATTTTTCGTATGGCAAACACATTATCCAGGATTACTGCCGACGGCGGCCTTCCTGTGTGTTCATCCTGAAGAAGATTGCGACCTCTGCTAAATTCTTTAAACCATCTGAATACAGTAGCACGAGCTGGAGATTCGTCACCAAATGCTAATTGCAACTGTTGAACGCAGTCTTCTCGACTTAATCCTGCTTTGAAATCGTAGAAAATCATAGGGCGAAAATGTTCTCGCATCAACTCCATTTTCTCTTCTGTTTAAAATTTATTCTATGCTAAACAAGTTGAAGTAAGTCAGTAAAAAATCCTCTGCTGTGTTAAAATACTTTGTATTTTAAAACTAAACCGTTATTTTTATTTTGTAAATTCTTGGCTGAGCGTATCTCAAAAATTTCAGAGTAACCCTCGTATTTCTTAGTTTATTTCATTCAGTTCTGAATAGTAATCCATAAATAATTCAATAATTCATTTACCATAAATAGCTAACACATTTTTTAATTTATTTAATACTAGAAAATTAGAACACATTCTTTAATTTACATAAAACTGAATAAAAACAGCTGAAATAATGAGAATACAGAAAACTCTCAATCATTTGTGGGTGTATAATCGGCTTTGTGGATAATCTGATTTTCATTCCTTTTTCATTTAGATTTGAAAGTAAATAAATTCATGGAACAATTTTAAGAGTTTTGAGAACAACATGCAAACCAAACATTTATGATCATAGCCCAGGTGTTCACAATTAGTCAAATTATGGGTCTACATTTAAACATTGCAACTTCAAGTGTAATACTTTAGTAAAAAACGAGGGCTGAAAGAGTGAAAATGGCAAAGAGCAAAACAACATGAGTCATGATCTACAGCTGTCAAATTCAGGATGAAGTTCATAATCCAATGAATAGATTGGGCACCCATCAAAGCAGTTTCTTCTTCAAGATTATTACTATTTAAAGCAATGACATTGATAGCAAGAAAAGAAATTTAGTTTTTTCTCTCTTGCCTTCATATGATGAAGGGATATGAATTATACTTCATCATTTATTTAGTCAACATCTAACACATTCTTTGAACTCTTATCAGTTATAAAATAGATAATAAACAAATGAGGGTGGTTCCCCACCCAGCACATATATCCCTAAAGAAAAAAAGAATGAATAATTTATGGGCAATATGCATGATTTTAGAATTGTTGTCAGTTGCTTATTTCTAGTTTCATAGCTTATAAGAGTTTCTAAAAATCCTGTAAGTGCTTTATCTCTTTAAAAGAACTAATTCAAGTGTTTTGAACATTGTTTTGTGCATTCTTTTTTAAACAGTGTATGAACTTCCGAGTTAAAAAGTCTGCTTGTGTATCAACACCAAGAAACAAAAAAAGTTGTTGAGCTTCTTATACAGTAATAAGAAGAAAAATTAAAAGAAAAAGTGTGAAAAAACTGCTATTAATAGATACTAAAATGTATCACTTATATTTAAAAAAAATTAATGATGTTTTTTTTAAAGAGTTTTGCGGCTTATGCACAAATTTGCTTATCCGCCCTTCGTGGTCTACACAATGCCACAGATAATCAATTAATTAATAACAAATTAGGAGAATTATTAAACCACGAGAAACAAGTCATATAAGACATTGTTGGCAGCAAAGCTAATTATAGTACATACAAAAAAAATTAGTTTTTTTTTCTCAAAACACAAATACAAAGGATCCATTTTTTAATTAATTCAAAAAGGTAAAAATACCTTATTTTCCAAAAAAAGGATCCATGAGTTGAAACTTATAATTTCATACTTTATCAAAATGACCATTCTCCTAATAAAACTGAATTCTCTGATATTTTAAGAAAGAAACTTAAAAAACTTGACAGATTTACATGATTTAAATTACTAAAATTTTAAATATAATTTAACAAGTTTCCAACATTTTTGAACATGCCGGATTTATGTACATTGCACTTGATAGGTGAAAAATTATTTTAATGAAAATTGTTCATTACTTTATGCTTCAAAAATCTTATATCATGCCACAAAAGATGCATCGATATGTTTAAAATTAATAATTTTAATTCAAATATAAATCTATTTCCAAAAATAAAATGCTTAGCCTTTTTTTTAGTTTATATTATTTGTTTTAAGAAGTCTACTTTATGAGGAATGCAGTTTTAACAAAAAATGAAAATAACGAAAATATTAATTTGAATTATTTATTTAATAGAACAGAAGTATTTATTAAGATAGCAATAATAGCAAGAAAAAAAGTAATAATACAACAAAATAAGTTTTATACGTGCAATTAACAGTTTAATACGCATAGGTATTAACACTCTTTATGTAAAATAACTGATTCTAACACATTAGTAATTGAGAGTTTCACTGAAATCCACGTTTTCCAGTGATACTTTCAGATTCTCTGAATTTTCATGAATGTCCGTGCTTCCAGAGAGAATAGCCATTTTTTAAAAATTCAAACAAGTAACGCTTACAAGGGAAACTAGGGAAGTGTGACTCACCAATTTTAAAATAAACTAGTGGGATGTATGCCTTATGAGGAATAATTTTAGGGGGCAACATTCGTTTCGGCCCATAGAAGGTCCTGTGAGAGATAAAAAATAATTCAATGTATGGAAAAATCGGTATTACTTCAATGCAGACTATTAGTTATTGTAATTATCTCATACTCCAATTAATTTTGTGGTACTTACTTTCACGTACTATATAATGCATATTTATTCTCATAATTGATTTTGAAAATTTTATATATCTGTAGTTTTTCAGAAAAACCTGTTAGGTTAATTTTAAAAAAAAATTGACAAATCTTTTTACTTTTTTATTTCAAAAATTTTCCAAATTATTTGGAGTATGTAATTGCAAATCAATCAATTAATTAATAATTAATTAATTAATCTGCTAATTGATTTATTAATTAGAAAATTAATTAATTAACCAATTAATTACAAATTAATTGGAGTATGAGACAATTACAATAACTAAAAGTCTGCATTGAAGTAATAAAATATCGATTTTTCTATACATAGAATTATTTTTTATCTCTCATAGGACCTTCTATGGGCCGAAGCGAATGTTGCCCCTTAAAATTATTCCTCATAAGGCAGACATCCCACTGGTTTATTTTAAAATTGGCGAGTCACACTTCCCTAGTTTCCCTTGTTAGGGGAGATTTCAGACATTGAGATTAAGGCATACTATTCTGAGAGTATACAACGATGAGAGATTGAGCCGTTGTGGCTCAGGATATCGAGGAACCAGGTTTGAATCCCAGCTATGGCTGGTCGATACAAATTCTGCACCAACCACAGTGCTGACAAAAAATATCTTTAGTGGTAAAGGCATCATGGGTTAGAGTCCCCTAGCTGCTAGGCTAACGGTGGGAGCTTTTTCTCTCCATGTTACACAAATGCGGGTTAATTCAAAAATTCCTCCACAAAGGCAAATTTCTCCCAATACTTGATCCAGGAGTTCCCCTTGTCTTCAGGATTAGTTACAAAATTACAAGGATACGGAGTTGAACATTGGTAGCCACAAACTCTCAATTGAATTAGATGTTACATGACAGTTATAAGATAAAATATAAAATGATGGGAGATTACTGTATATCATTAAATTTTATTTAAAAGGAAGGGAAGAAAAGATTACCATTTGTAAAAAATCGTGAGGCTCAGTCTTAACATTCTCAATATATTCAGAAACCCTTTCTACGCTCACTATCTCCTTCTCTGTCTCAGTGAAGGCTATGATAGCACCATTTAGAAGACTGGTTATGGATAAGGCATAAGATAAGGCAAGACCAACAAGACCTGCAAATTATAAATAGATATATCAGTTAAGTGATGACTCAGTAATTAAGGCACTGAACTGTCATTGTGAAGAACTGGGGTTCGATCCCCAGCTTCAGAACTACAAGTACCAGCTTTTCTGAAAAGTAAAGGCAGCCTATGCACAGTGCTGACCACATTGCAGGGGTTATGAAATTGTGAAGCCTTAACCTCCACGACTCTCCTGGCCCACAGTGAGCTGTTGCAGGAATGCTTAACTTTTTTACTATATCAGTACTATATTTACTATGCCAATTAAACATCTAGATTTAAAATTATTTATATGTAACTTCTTCATCTGCCGTTTTTATTTATACTTGCATTTACCCCACAAAATCAAACTTCTTTATATGCCTTTTTTATTTATACTTGCATTTGTCCCACAAAATCAAAATTCTTTATATGCCTTTTTTATTTATACCTGCATTTGCCCCACAAAAAGAAAATATCATACACCATTTTGTAAGTATATAAATATTAAGCCAGTACTTTTTGACTTAAATGTCTGCCAGTATGAAAAGAATTGCATACATTTGCGTATTAAATATTTGAAGAAAAGGAATTATTTTTTCATTTTTTAAACACGCATTTTTTTAAATTTTATTCATTAATATCTCTATATTTTCTAAATGAATAATATTAAATGCCTATGGAAAAACATAGTTGCATTACAAAAATTATTATTGTCAAGGTGAATTTATATTCATTTATTTAATTTTCAGTTATAAGTTTTTACATTGCTTTGTAAATTGATATTAGTCCTCTGAAACAGCGATTCCCAATTTCATTTTTCTATAAAGCCTGCAACAATAGACTTTCCTTCAGTAGAACCCCAACTTAGTTCATCAGCAATTACGAACATATTAATCAATGAAAGACTAATTAGTTTGAAAGTGGAAAGAATTTCGTTTTTCATCAATGATAGTCTTAAAATAAGGTTTAAATTCAGACTGTTTCATTCACAGGCCTGAAACGGCATTTAGTCGAATTCAGAATTTGGTTTTGGTGGCTGTAGAAGCTAAAAATGAATAAAATAAGCTGAAAAAATGGTTTGGTTACTTAAAGTCATAAATTTCAAAACCCCTAAAACCTGCCCACAGAACTCTAGGATTCCACAGCACATCTTTTGGAAACTGCTGCTCTGATAGATATATAAATAATACTTAATATTATGATATTTATGTAACTTGCAAGTAATAATATATTTTATATATATCAACAATAAGTATCCAGAAATGCTAAAAAAAAATTTAAAAAATTCCACGAAAAATGATTATTTTAATTTAATTTAGTAATATAATAGTTTATATGCAACTAAAATTTAAAACTAATCTGGCATGGGAGTGGGAAAAAGATCTAAAAGCCTGTCAAAGATACAATAACAGCAACTTTAAAACACATTACACTACATTACTTTATAATACACATGACAGTAATTACTGTATAATACATATTACAGTACATTATAATACACATTACAACTTAGACTAACTAAACAACCTAGTACTTATTTACAACAAAGGCTCAGTAAAGACATTACACTGCATTACAACTTAGGCTAACTACTTTACTACCACTTAGGATTAATAAACATATTACAATACTTTCAAATATATTACCTGCATCAACAGCACCAAACTCTCTTTCCATTAATGCAATCAAAGATACGGATGTCACAACAACAACACCAATCAACTGTAGCCTTAAATTGAGCCACTGGGAGGCTGCAGACATTGCTAAACAGGCTCGCACATTTAAATCAATGTGCTCCAACATTTCTTTAAAAAATCTTAAAAAACAGAATACTTATGTTTAAAAAAATTTCACTTTTGTAACACCATTAATACAGAATACAATCGTTTAAAATATAAACTTTTGCAAAAACTAACCAAATATATATTATATTGACTATCAAATAATTAGATTAATTAGTTACTTTGAAATTAATGGAACAAAAGTCAGTAATGACCATATAGCACCAACAGTTAGATATACATTATATAATTATGTCACAATGACTCTATTGTGGGTAATTAAAAAATTCAATCAAATAATTAGATTAATTAGTTACTTTGAAATTAATGGAACAAAAGTCAGTAATGACCATATAGCACCAACAGTTAGATATACATTATATAATTATGTCACAATGACTCTATTGTGGGTAAAAAACTAGATAGACCTATTATAGGGGTAAAGTTTGTAATTGATAAATCTAGAAAAACCCTGAAAATTTTACAGGTAAAAACT